GGTCCTTCGAGCCGGATCGTGTGTGCGGGGGAGAGCGGCTCGCAACTTCTCGTGCTCAGCGCGTGATCGCGCCGTTCACAGTGCGCGTGCTCAGTGCGTGTTCTTCACAATCGGTGCGCGATCAGCGTGTGGATTATCTCGTGCACTTGTGTGCTCTGGTCCGGCTCAACGCGGAGCGGCGTGCGCTTCGCATGGTCTGCTCATGCTCGGCGCGTAGTTCTGCACGTCGTGCTATCTCTCTTGCTCGGCGCATATTGTCGCGCGTCGCGTGCTCTGCTCGGGCTCAGTGCGTAGCTTTCCGTGTGCGCGCGGGAAACTCGTAAGATGGACGGCGAGAAGCAAGAAGGGGCTTTACTCGGGGTGCCACCCCTGCAGCCGACTCGCGCAACTTCAAGGTCGCCCTCTCCGACAGACTCGCTGGTGACCGTGCGGGGTGTCTCACCGGCAGGCACCACGCGGTCTCACGCTACTGTAGGACAGCTGTCCACGGAACTGGCGCTCAAAGTTAGGGCGCAGATGAATCGGTTGACATTACTCCAGGAGAGGCAAGCACGTCTGCCAACGATGACATCACTCGAGCAGGTACTGGAGCTTAAGAGCAACGTGGATGACACCCTTAAGGTGTTTCTCAAGGAGCATGCATACTTTGAAGCAGGATGGCCTGCCTCGTGTCTGGATCACGCATATTTTGCTGACAATATCTTCCTGGAGGCTCAGCGAGTGGCCTCATTTCTCAAAGAAGAAATAGCCAAGGCTAAAGGCTCACTGCTGGCTCAGCCGTCCTGCTCGTCGACCGGCTCAACACCTGTCACCCATACAAAGCTACCTGACATAACATTGCCAGAATTTAGTGGCAACTATCCAGAATGGCCCACGTTCAGGGACCTGTTCAAGAGTCTCATCTTGGAAAACGCTCGACTATCCGACGTAGAGAGACTTCACTATTTGAGAGGCTGTCTCAAGGGAGCACCGGAGCGGCTCGTCATCGGATTCCCGCTCACGGCACAATCATTGAGTTTGGCGTGGGACTTGTTATCATCGCGATATGATAATAAGCGATTGATAATTCAAGCGCACTTGGATCAGATTTCCTCCGTCACCGCTGCGCACAAAACTGCGGCGTCGCTCAGCAAGCTCATCAGTACGGTGTCGGATGCGAAAAAGGCGCTGCTCAATATGAATGTGGAGGCGACGCTCGGAGACCATCTATTAGTATACCATGTTTCCAAGCGGCTTGATCCAGATACTCGAGAGGCGTGGGAGATCTCGTTGGGTGCATCGCAAGAGTATCCATCGTTTCAAAAGCTCCACACATTCCTAACGGCTCGAATACGGGCGCTCGAGAGACTTGAGCCCGCTCAAAAACGGACTGCTCACCAGGCAACAAAGGAATCAAAGACTCCCGCAACGTCGAAAACCACGGCCTTCGCTCAGAGTTCCACAGCTCATCCATGCGACCAGTGTCAGGGTGAGCATTACATCATTGGGTGCGAACAGTTTAGGAAATTGACGCCCACAGCGAGAAAGGCAGTAGCTGAGAAGAAGCGTTTGTGCTTCAATTGCTTGGGTCGGCATAACGCGAAAGCGTGTCGGTCGGCTCAAAGATGTAAAACCTGTACCGGTTTACATCACACGATGCTGCACGATCTCGCTGGAAGCAGTTCATCGTCCGGAAATGCTCAACCTTCAACCTCATCGGCGGCTCACTAGGAAGGTGGTGCAGTTGTCAACATCGGCGCAACTCACACTCACGTCAAGGCATCCCTTCTGGGAACTGCCATTGCACAGGCGGTAACATCGGTGACAGCACATTCAGTCAGATTACTCGTGGATTCAGGCTCAGAATTAACATTTGTATCGGAACAGCTCACACGTCAGCTCAACATTCCTCGGCAGTCCTCATCAGTCACCATCAATGGCATTGGAGGAGCAAAAGCAACGCAGACTCTCGGTCTTGTCCAGCTTCGACTGAAGTCCCTCCACTCTAAGGACATCGTGACCATTGATGCTCATATTCTCAAGAAACTCACGACATTGATTCCATCTGTCAAGGTCAAGCATGGTCATTGGAAACATGTTAATGAGCTGTGCCTAGCAGATCCGGAATACTACCGTCCTCGAACAATCGACATCATTGTCGGAGCCGATCATTACGGCTCTATCATAAGGCCAAAAATGATAAAACGAGATCCAAATTCACCAGTAGCTCAACTATCGATCTTCGGGTGGATTATTCTAGGACCAATCAATGCAACCGACTCGTCATCTGTGTGTGCGCATCAAGTTGCGGCTCATAAGGAAGACGCTCTTCAGGAACTTCTGGCGAAATTTTGGATTCAAGAGGAGGCGCCTGAAGATGTTCAACCAACGCTCACATCAGAGGAAGAGGAATGTGAAACTTATTTTCGGACTACTCACACAAGAGACCCATCAGGAAGATACGTGGTGCGGATCCCGCTCAAATGTTCACCATCAGTGCTGGGGCGTTCACAACTGACTGCCTCAAGATGTCTGCGGAGAATCATTCGTCGGTTGGGCAAGGATGCTCATTACAATCAACTGTACACCAACTTCATGAGGGAGTACGAGGAACTCGGGCATATGCGGAGAGTAAGTGGCAACGATTCTGATCTCGTGGAAAACCTGGCACATGATGCCTCGGCGTCAGGAGGGTTAAGGGACACGGGTGACGTTTCAGCCAGCTTCTCTTCCGCCCATCCTCCGTACTATTTGCCTCATCATGGAGTGTTCAAACCAGATAGCTCAACGACGAAGCTCAGAGTCGTATTCAATGGCTCAAGTCCAACCTCATCGGGAAGATCAATCAATGACATCATGCACACAGGGGCAAATCTATTGCTAAATGTAATGGACGTGCTCACCTGGATTCGACACCACCGCCATATCTTCGCCACGGACATCACAAAAATGTATCGACAAATACAAGTACACAGAGGTGACTGGAATTTACAACGAGTGCTATGGATTGACGACCAGCTCAACGAGGTTCCCTTCCATCTCACCACAGTCACCTATGGCACGAAGGCAGCTCCGTTTCTCGCCACTAGAGTCTTGCTCCAGTTGGTCGAGGATGAAGGCGGGTCATTCCCGCTTGCAG